TCTATCTATCTATCTGTTGTGTGTTCTTATCTATTGAGAGTAGGTGTAAAGTTATTTGGGTTTTCCTCTTTCTCCTGTTAGGTTGAAACCAGAAGGTCAGAAGGTATACCTAATATTCTGTAAAGGCTTTTACTTTAACTCCTCATCACAAGCGGCCTTAGTGTGGGCATAAATTGTGAGCAACCATGCATGTTTCTTTTGATATATTTTTATTGGTTCGGAAAGGTTAATGTATCAAGTTTTTCACAAAATGTCTGATTTTCTTTCTCATTTTTTTTGTCTCTGTCATTACTTATTTGAATTCAGTATTTTGAGTTCCAAGATAACATGTCAGCACCTGTACTGCCAAATCTAACCACCAGATGTCAGTGTCACTTCATGATTATACCACCTGCTACTGGTGTAAGTACAGCACATGTGCAAAATGAGGCCACAAGACATGCAGAGACATGTTTTACTGTTATACATCTAAACTATTTGCTATTTGACACCCAGAATGCAATGATGATGATTTTATAACATATAATAAATGTTACTGTTCTGTGAAATCCTGTATCACTTTTTAGTCACTAAGAGAAACAAACGCACCATTGTGTTAAACCCGGTGGTCTTGTGTAAAAAAACAAACATGTATCTGTTTAAAAAACCTTATTTCCGTGTCTAATGTTGGAAATGAAAGAGGAAAAAAATCTGTATATAGTTCAGTTTTGTGTCCTGGTACAGTGCTTGTGTTCTGGAACATCCTACCCTGTGGAGTAAGGGTCAGCTGAGTATTAGCTTGCAGCACATTGAGTGTTATTTATGGGCATGAAAGTAACCTAGAGTGACACAACTGTATTACTGTCCTTTTTTACTCCTTTTGGCATTAAAGGGATGCATAAAACTAGTGACGGCCTCAATTTACCACTTATACAGCAAGTGTTTAAATTACATTTCAATATTTATTAGACTGTTAATCACACTTTGCCAAACTGGCTGAAACTGGCAGAGGCCTGGTGGTTTACCCTTTAAAAAAGGAATTTCTCATAGGACATACTATTTCAGTCAAAAGTAGTTTCAATGACAACCGCTAACAGTGGGGTTTGTGTTTGGTTTGTGGTTTAGTGTTTCTCGAAAGGAATATTAAGCTTTAATAATCTGAAAACCACATTTAAGTTTAGTGCACTTCCATTGAACTGGGGCGATGGTAGAAGTCTCCGAGAAAGATAAATCCAAATCTCAGCGAATAAAACCATCCAGTAAATTATCGTTACCAGAAAAATGAAAGAGAAAAAAAGAGATCACTTGTCGTGAAAGTCTTGTCTCACAACACTCCTTGTAATTCCCAGCTGCTGCTCGACAACAGGGAAAGAATGACAAATAATGTGAACCAGTACTCTTTAGCAGTGGCGTGCACAGACTTTTTGAAGGGCAGGGGCGGAAAGAAAAAAAAGGGCACATATAGCGCGTCCCGTCCTCACCACTGTAGAGGGCACGTTTTAGACACGTTTTATATGTTATACAAATGGCACATTATATAGCCTTAAAACAGACTAACTAGACAGACTACTCAGGTTAGTCTGCTGTTAGGGATCAGCATCCACGAGAACTGTGTGATTTCAACATAGGATCATTTTTTTTTGAACAGCGACATGGATGTATAAAGGAAATAAACCCCCAGGGGGTCTGGGGGTCTCCCAATGGCGTTTCGCTGTGGATGTAACTTTGGTACGTTACATAAGTTAACTTATGTACGTTACTTAAAATAAATTGTTTACTTTTGGTTTCACAAGGGACACAAACTGCATTCTCCGGGGTTAAAGTCCTGTGTTTATTTGAGCCATCCATCCATCCACCCAGCCCACCAGCCTACCAGCTCCATATGCTGACTTTCTCACTGTTTATACCACGCCACAAGCTTTGATGGTGTGCACGTCCAGAAATTAAACAAGAGGGTTACATACAGCATCATATTTTGAAGCGGAGGACCACTGATCAAGTGGCAGTATTTGACAATGTGGAATTAAGACCACGTTGAAATAATTTTAACCATACCTTAACCATATGTAGTTTCTTAAACGTTAACAGTGGCCGTATTAGTCATTTTGCAGAAAAATGGGGCAGAGACTGAACGATAAAGTAAATGAATGGGCCATAAATAGAAAAGAATCAGCTTAAAGAGGCTAAAAGGGATATTGTAAAAACATATTTTCCTCCCCTACCTATAAACATATAATATACTATACACACACATATATATATATATATATAATGTATGCCTCTCAGATGTCCCCTGCAACTTTGTTCACAATATAATGTAAAACCAGTATTACAGATGGTCATTGCTATGCTTAGATCTAGATAAATATAGGGTTACTATGGAGAGGGAGGCAGCAATTTGATTTTTGTTCATATGCATCAGGCCTGTGGACCAGCTGTTGTCCACCTGACACTAGGTCCACTCTATGCTGATGACATCTGAATACACAAAGTAGAAATTCAGCCACAGTCTGTACTTGCCTGCTGGTGAAATGCACTTTACCAAAGCAATCATAATGACAATAGTTAACATTTTAATGAGAACAAATTAGATAACCAGCATTATCACTGTGATCAACGTCATTATTACCTAACTAGACGGCTTTGGAGGGTTTTGTTTTATCTCTCTGTTATGTCTTTTCTGCATGCTCTGTTTGCAGACTGCAGTGGTCATGCTCCAGCCTGGTGGCAGCTTTGCTGTCATTTATTACCTGAAGTTGATGGCTAGTGCAAACAGTTGCTAAGGTCATAATAAGTTTTATTACTCTTCCTATTACGTTAATGCTGTCATATCATCTCTCTGTGCTTCCTGTTTGCTAGAAAGCTCTTTCTCATTCACACAATGTGGGACAAAAGCTCAAAGCAGTCGGTTGCTGTCATTGTCTGCGTTCTTTATGACACAGAGCAGAGCAGTTACCTAGGTGAATAACAGTTCTGCACAACATCACCCACAGACTGCCTCATGATAGAGAGCAAATATATCAGTCATTTTTAAATCAGATAATTAGATCAGACCCCGGGTATTTGCAGAACTACATGCAAACTTCACCTGACTGTATGTTTACATTGGATGTTTCATGTCACTGGGCTAAATGAGATACTTAAAATACCCTTGCTGCAGGCTCAAAGTGTCACAATAACTGAAATGTTAATGCTACTGCATTATACATAAGTGTGTGGGTGTACTCATCTTATATCCGAAAGTACAACACATTTTATTAGTTTTTCAAATAATTTAGTTTATTTGCTGGTATGTAAAAAAAGAAAACAGTGATATAAATATTATAAATTAAATTGCACATTTTTTATCTTTGTTTGGTAAAAATGCAACAAATATATTACAGTCAAATAAATACAAATAAATACAAAATCATAAAGTATCCTACATGCCTGTTCACAAACAGTGTAAGAATCTGACAGAGGAACATTATATATCACAATCACAGAAATGTGCCTAATTGTAAAGAAAAGTGTTTTTCCCACTTCTCCTGCCCTCCTGTTTGATTGTCTCAGTGTGATACACTTTCTTTTGACTTTGCTGTCCAAACATCATCTGTATTCACACAATCCACTTAAGGCATCAACTTCTCCTCCATTTTCCATTTCCCTTCAATCTGTCCATATCTTTGAATGGACGGCGCCTACAGAATGCGCTCATCCACTGCCGCTTTCTAGATCGTCACGATCTCTGTGTCTGCAACTGCGTCCAGCTTTATGATGCAGCACCTAACGCCATGCCTGTCTTGCCTTCTCAACCCTTAAGGCGACCGCTAACACTAACAATTCTCCATCAGCTCACGGAGAGATAATCACGCCTTCTTCTCCTGCCGGGGCTGCTTGGTGGCCTTGGCGCCTGGTTTGGCTTGGCACACTAGGTCCCTGTAGGCTGGAGAGCGGAGGAACCGAGGGTAGCAGTCTTTGGCCATGAGCATGTAGATCTTGTGCTGGGCCAGGTCGAAGCAAGAAGATGACAGCTCCAGCATGTTGGCTTTGGTGATATCCCGAGTTTCGTGGTCAATGTTAATCTGGTAAAAGGGAACAAGAAGACAGAATCAGATTAGTTTCTTTATGTCCGTACTGGGCACATAAATTAAATTGGTTGGTTTTGGTGTAAAAGATGAATGGTAAAATATATAGTTTTGCAGTGCAGGTAGAAATGTGAGGAAGAAAAGGAAAGGGAGTTCATCTAATTTTTAAAATTTAGATTTGGTGTTTTCTTACCTCCCGGGGAGCGTCGCTGCCGATGAATTCATCATAGATCTTCTGGGCTTTGGCTGATAATTTGGCAGGAGATTTGGTACTCCTGTAATCCTCACAGGCAAAGTAGAACGCGATGTTCTCTTCGCTGAACTCAGACACCAGGAAGGCTGTGAAGGCACACAGTCCATCTGAGGAAAGAGAGGAAATTTGATTACTTATGGTACATAATTGTCCCGCAGGGGGTGCATGTGTCTGTAAGTGTAGCTATTATATGCCTTTACTGGCATTTACTTGTGCTTTTTTGTGTGCAAATGTGTCAAAAATTGCAAAGATCTAGATATTTACTTACATTTGCTGGACAAGAGTTTTTCAAAGGACTGTTTCCACCTAAGGCATTCCTCCATGGTTGGCCTGAAAATAGATGAAGCAAGGTTAGATTCAACCCATATTTTTAACCAAGCACACAGTGACAATAAATGTAAAATAAATTGGTAATAATATATTAATACAGAATGATGCTTACTTATTGTGCCCCATTTTGCAGCCGGATAGATTCCAGTTGGGTTTTTGCAGAATGCTTCCCAGCCTTGCTTTCAGCTCTTTGGCCCTGTGAGGAAAAGAAACAGTTTAGACATATTTTTCACAAGACCTTCATTGCATACTTATAAGCCATTTGCAAAAATCTGCACTAAGTACAAAGTCTAAATTTAGCACAACCTAGAACTTATTTTTTAGCTTCTCAAATGCTTACAGGCAGATGCACACAGATAAAACAGCAGAGCTGCCTTCCATATCCTGTAATCCTAATCCCATGTGAATGTTTGCATGAAGTTTCATGTACCTTTCCAGGCAGCAGGTGGGCAGCGATGCTAGTCCTTTACACATAGCAGCAGGTTGGAGCTGGTAGGGGTGGTGTCTCGGTTGGGTGGCGGTTAAATATCCGTTTAGTAAAGCTCAGTAAGGAGCGAGATCTGAGTGTCTGAACAGAGCCGGAGCAGAGGTTTTATAGTCCTACCTCCCCTGCCTCTGATGTGTCATCAGCCTTCTCGGCCAATCACAGAGAGGTAAAGAGAGAGCAAGAGGCAGAGGGAGAGAGAGATAGGGAAAGACAGAGACAGGGAAGGAGGGAGGGAGTGAAAAAACCGGGGAGTATATACAAGGACGAGGCTGGGAAATTACTGTAAAATGATGAAAGCAGCTGATGTTCTATGCTATGTTTTTCTTGCATGTCCCTGAAAACACCCCACAGTTAATCTTTAAGTGTTTGCATTCACCCTTCTCTTCAAAACAACTTATTTGTGAGAATAAAAAATTATATTTCATCCTGTGTCTAGGTGTTAGAATGGTGTCTAAAGTTGAAAATACTGTATATATTTAGTGTTGTATGGGCTCGCCAGCTTTTAGATATTGTCTTTCACCTTACACAATACATCCTTGAAAATATTCTTAAACTTGGCACACGTGTAAGTTTCTCATAGTTTTCCTTATACACTAATACATCAACACCCATTGAATGTGACTATTAAGTGATACCTTTGTCTTCTGATGTCATGTATTTGTCATATATAGTCTTTGATTAGTTTTTTTCAAATACCATTTAGCTTCAAACTTGTGTCTTGTCATCAATTACAACCTTTTACAGAACAGAGCTTGCCTCTGTATAAATGAAAGTTTCAATCAGTCAGTCTGTGTGTATGGTATAACCCAACAAGCCAATCCACTCATAACATCCTGTGTTGTCCTTTACTAATTTGTTCCTGCTCTGTACAAAAAAGACACAGAAATAGGCAGGTTGATAAAAGGACCATTCTGGTGGTAAAAGCAATCAGACTCTTTATGGGCCTGATAAAAGTGTTAATTCCAGGGAATGCTGGGAAGGAAACGTGGTAATTCACTTTGTTTAATTATATTACTGTAAGCAAGCTGGATGTTAACCAACTACTCGACACAATAAAGCCGAGGCGGGACCGTTTCCCATATGGCAAGCTGCAAGTTTCTTATCTAGGATTTGTTTGTCATATAATTCAGATTAAAAAGGGACATTAGATTAGTGGGACATTAGAGTCAATACCATTCTTCAGTCACGTATTGCCTTAGATTATCTAACACATCAATTGCACTGCTTTACAGTGGACACTAGTGGTCTTATTTCCAAATGAGAGAAGATTAAAGCAGGGATTCAACAGAAATAATTAATAATAATCTGTTTTTGTAATCTGTTCTTTTGAATTTGAAGGTCTTGTTTTTTCAAGCTACACCAAGAGCCACCGGAGCCAATACAACATTAAAGGACCTCCAAACACTATTTTCCAAATGACAGTGGAAACATTGTATTGCATTCGTTGCGCAAGTCTATAGCCATGGGCATTTCAGGGAGTTGAGACCCAACAGGGCTGTGTGATATATGAGATCAGCTCTATTTGAGGGAATGTTACGCCCCTCTAATAAAAACGTATGTTGTCATAAGTCAGTGGTTTAATTAAAAAATGTGACAAATGTGTTACTGAATCATTTCCTAAAAAGCAGCAGATTCACCAAAGACGATAAGGAGAACAAATACCTCTAAACTGAAATAGAATTTTTTTTTTATATATATACACACACACAC